CATAAAAACACGCGGTCTCAAAACCCCACCATCTCCAAATGTTGATGAAATTATGATGTTTCTAGATTTGAAGCTTTCGTGACTGCAAGGATTCATATTCTTAGGTTTTTTTAGGTAAAGTCACGTAGGTAAAACATTAAAATTAATAAAAGTAAAATAACATAAAAATAAAAAACACGACGTTTCGGAGGCAACACAAGCTTCCGTCTTCAGGTGGAACCGTCACAGCCACGACAGCTGTATCAAGTAAATGAGAGATTGCAAGAGCTACCACTCCGTATATATAATGGTTGGAGAGGGGGGAAGGGCCAAGTACGGCACACTTTTTATTCATATGGTAAGGTGAGGCTTAAGAGGGTGAGCCTTTGTTATGGAGAGGTACGGTTTGTGACTACTATTTTATTTTACTTTTATTAATTTTAATGTTTTACCTACGTGACTTTACCGAAAAAACCTAAGAATATGAAATTATGATGGTTGTGGTGGTGGTGGTGGTGGTGATGGTGGTGATGGCAGGGGAGGGGAACAGAGGGCGAGGAGGGAAAGAAAACGAGCGAACAGAAGCGATCTGGCACGCGGCTGCGTCTGTTTTCGCAATGTACGTGTGCGTCGAACTTCTTTCGCACCGCACGTTGCCAACTGTGCAAATTGGAGGTGCAGATGGAGATTAAGCCCACACTCGCTGTACCGCCATCTCCTGGCGAGCCAGGGTACTGCGGCACCACGAAGCTCACGGGAAGGGATTGTTCCACACGACATTTGTGTGATCCACCGAACCTCAGCTTTTACCGGAGTGCGTGTAACCATCGCAGCTCCTCGGTTTAGAGCGAGATGGTCTAACACACACACACCACAAAGACGCCAGTTCACAACATGCCTGACCTAAAATTGAGTTTTGCACTTGGGGGCCGTCCATAAATGACGTCACGCGATGTTGGACGATTTTTAGCCCCCCCCCCCCCTTCGTCACACGGCGTCACAAAAAGTCAGACCCCCCCCTAAAATATGATGTCACAAAGCTCTGCCCCCCCCCCAAAACCATATTTCCATTTTGAAAATAAAACATGCTTCAAATCGCTTTAAACTATTGTCATTGTAGTGCGTATTTAATGTGGCGCTGCACTCTGATGTTGTAGGAGTGTTGTTATAACAATTAGTGTTATTATAACAATTCTATATTTGTTGTGGATTCACTCTTCAACACACCGGTGGGCTAAAGTAGTGAACTATTTGTCTTTTGTCAACGTGACACTTTTTTGCTGATTGGCCGTGTTGGGTGGTGGAGGGTTATGACACATTTATAAATAACGCGATCTAACCCAAAAACGTTTATTATGAATATTGGTCGCGAAAGCCTGATACGTGTTAAACTGACGGTGGAGAGAGCCGAGGGAGTCGGGCAGGGGACCCACACAGAAGTCACGTGATTTGTGTGAGGCAAGAGCTGACTTGCTTCTTGAGTTTGCGTAAGAAAGCCTACAGTTATACACAATAAAAATGATAGTGTTGGTCCAACACCAATAGAGACTAGGCTCTAAGGAAAGCTGTCTCGGGTGTGGACCAATCAACTTCAAGGACAGTGCATATCATTACTATTATCAGAGTTGTTTTCTTTTTGTTTGCATTTTGACTGCTTGTGTTGCGGTTATTGCAAACATGGTGCCTTGTATAAAGGTGTCAGTTTTGTACCAGTTTAAAGGGTAAAACCCTACTACTATATTTTGCCACTGGTAAAGGAGATGTCTCATAGAATAAAAATGATGTTGAAACTACATTATGAAATTTTGCTGCCATGCAGTCGTTATGGGTAACAGTGCCGCTCTTGGGAGGTCAATGATACGATAATTTATACAATCCACTTAGTGATGCATTCCTGGGACGCATTTATGGAAATCACTGACGGTGCCTTTTTTCTCTTTTTAGGCCATGGTAGGAATACCGGTGGCTCTGTGGTCGTGGCGTGAGCGGCTTGCAGTCGTAAGGTTACGAGTTTAAATCATGATTTGAGCGGTTGACCCAGAACCTCAACCCTGTGGAGCCTATAAAATCGGTAGCACTTTGTGTATAGATCATGGTTGATGATTTCCTCTCAACCAATTCTCGACGCGCTCCTTAACCGACCCGCATGGTGAAGTATGGTCGAACGGTCCGACCTCCACGACCGGAACTAATTTTCCAGTAGTTTTTTCTTTTTTACCACCATCATCATCAGCCATGGTCCATCCACTGCTGGATGAAAATCTCCCCAACCTGTCGGCCATTTCTATCACGGTCTCACGATCAGAGGTCGCAACCGGGTACCCGATACCCGTACCCTACCCAATACCTGGCCGTTTGCGACCCTGGTGCGGCCGGGTACGGGTACGGGTAGGCCGTGAGTCACTGGTGAGTAGCCGTTTGTCACTCATTTCGGGTAGGGTACGGGTAAGGGTAGGGAACCTTGGTGCGGCCGGGTACGGGTAAGGAATCAAAAACCGTTTGTGACCTCTGCTCACGATGCAGAAATCCATCTATATAATTCAAGGGCCATTGTGCGAAATGTCATCTCTTGTGTATGGTTTGTATTTGTCTTCTCCTTTTAAAGCAGTGGATTGTTGTTGTTGTTGTTATTTGTACAAGTACAGCTTCCTGAAACGAAAACATCCCTCTCTGGCATAAGAGTTATGGGATGGGCGCACTGCAATCCAAAGGCTCGCAGGTTTTCGAGTAACATTTCCCGGCACGGCAGTTGAAACAATAGGGGGGGGGGGGGCGAGTTTCTTAAATAGCCGCCGCCCCCCACCCCAAACTCTCTACCGCCCCGGTCCACCCAGCAGAATAAAGGGGTACAGCCTGGGTGGATCGGTAATTCGCGTGCGGCGAGGAAAAGTGTGGGTCACTCCCTGAGGTGTGGACTCGAGTCATGTGACTTGGACTCGAGTCAGACTCGAGTCATGAATTTGATGACTTCAGACTCGACTTGGACTTGCATAACAATGACTTTGTCCCACCTCTGAGGTGTGGACTCGAGTCATGTGACTTGGACTCGAGTCAGACTCGAGTCATGAATTTGATGACTTCAGACTCGACTTGGACTTGCATAACAATGACTTTGTCCCACCTCTGGTCACTCCCAACTCTTCCAAGGTACATGGCCAGTGTTGAAGAGGAGGGCAGAAATATCCAGCCGAAGTGGCTCTTTCTGGGGGTCTCCCTCGAGTGGAGGCGCTTCCGCCAGGAGCGATGTGAGCGGGGCCGAATCTGTTTCACTTCTCAAATCAGTGTCTTGAAACTCAGCCATTTGTAAACCGAGCTTTCCCTGTAACTTAAGATTTTAAAACAGAAACAAATTGTGTCGTCTGATTGGATTTCTCTGCAATTATTTATTCGCTTTTATCATAGTTCTTCATTTTTGGGGGGGAGGGGGGGGGGGATTTCGAGTGGAGTCATTGATATGGCTTACATTTTTAATCGATAGTTGCGAGTGTAGTTTTATTTTTCTTTATGCACAGCGCTTTAAGATACTTCAACATGAAAGACGCTTGATACAATATCGACTATTATTAGTATTGCAAGGCTGCGCCTTCATTTACCCACTAAGCCGCGTGTTGTTTTGCAACGGAGACCCAGGCAACAACTTGCACCATTGCACCTCCCGCCTCTTAATAAAGGACGCGACTGTGACAATCTGTTTAATAAAATAAAGACACGAACAGACGACTAGGCGGCACAAAACGTGAGCGTACTATGGAGTGGAGCCAAACGTAATACTCTCTGGGCCAGTGCCAAGAAGCGCGGTTTGCGAAAACATCGTGGGAATGGACAAAAAGAACAAATACAGCGTAAGCTCTGTCGTGAGTCCTTCCGCATCACAAAGCTCAAGGGCGATGTATTATCGATTGCCACATGCGAAACGAACACCCATCCAGACACGCTGAATGAACGTGCAGCAGTAATAGCCCACAGACACTCGGGGAGAGAGAGAGCTAAGGCATTTTAAAATCCTTTATATTAAGTTCGCTTGCTTTCTTGCTTAGGACCGTGCAAATCTTTCGGTCGTTTTTTAACCCACTTCCCGTGATCCAATCGAGCTGACATTTTGCACACAGACTCGTTGTGCCAGACAATTAATGTTCGTGAACATTTTTTTCCAAAATTTTACACTTTTTAGGGAAAACTAATTAAATATTTAATTACCAATTGCTTAATACTGGCAGACAATCATCTAACCCTTAGGTGGCAGCCATCTCAAGCCAGAGGACGAGAGGACTCTAGCCGCCACGCATATAAAGGATTTATAGTGAAAAACTTTGTTTTTACGGGTTAAACTTATTAAATCCTTTATATTAAGTTCGCTTGCTTGCTTGCTTAGGACCGTGCAAATCTTTCGGTCGTTTTTTAACCCACTTCCCGTGATCCAATCGAGCTGACATTTTGCACACAGACTCGTTGTGCGTGACAATTAATGTTCGTGAAAAAATAAAAATTCCAAAATTTTACACTTTTTAGGACAAAAAATTTATATTTAATTACCAATTGCTTAATGCTGCCATGCAATCATCTGACCCATAGGTGGCAGCCATCTCAAGCCAGAGGACGAGAGGACTCTAGCCGCCACGCATATAAAGGATTTATAGTGAAAAACTTTGTTTTTACGGGTTATACTTGTTACCAAAGAGAGAAGTGAAACACTCCCTACGCCATCTGTGCGCTAGTTCTCCGACAAAAAACTATAACGGGAAGCTGTGGACCTTCAAAGGATGATCCTGACGCCACTCGAAAGGAGTAGGCCACTGTGTGCTGGCGTCACGGTACGAATTTGAAAAAATGCACCGTAGATGACTTAATTTCGGATGACACCACACAGCAAACGGATGGGCCTTCTCGAAGGACCAGGTGCCCGGTCACGCTGTGCCGCACGGGGACAGCGGCCACTTGGGGTGCCCCTCGAATGCCTCAATCGAGTTGTGGTGTTAAGGCGCTTTGAGTCGCTGTGCGTAATTAGCGCTCACGGTGGTTACCTCTGGCGTCGGGTTCCTCATTCACGGTGTCCCTCTCCTTCAGGCGAGGCACTGTGAACACAAACGGTGGAGAAATCACAGCTTGCGCCAATTTCAACGTTGCCCTCATCCTGATTTATCGGCCGTGGTCGATCCACCGCTGGATTATGGCCTCCCGAAGCTGTTGTTGCCTCTCATGATACTGCGATGTAACTACCCACCCGGCACCTGCTCGCGAACTGATTTCACCGCTCCAATTGTCCGCTGAACATCCCTCGTTGGTGACGCGTTCCATTATCTTGGCTGCCACTCCGTTATTATCCCTGACGATCATCCATCGATCCTTCTAGCCGTGACGTGTCCCTGTCATTAAGGTGAGTACATCCTCAAATCAACGGGCTCCTCTGTCTCTCGGTGCAATTCCAAGCATGCGTCTCTCCTTGCTTCTTTGTGCACATTTTGGTTTCTGTATATTTTCAGTTTGTTCATGATGTGTTTCTGAACTATGTGTTACAGCAGGCAGTGCACGCTGATTGCAAACATTATTCTTTCAGCCACATTGCTGTTATTATTTAACGTGCAGTTTCTAAACTTTAAAATGTGCAGGTTTTGTTTCGTTTATTTACATTTTCCTCTTGAGTGACCAGCCGCCACAGTGCCCTCGATTGCCCTCTGTAACTCAGTGGGCCTTGCCTGGTAAAATTTCATTGATAGTTTTTTTTAGTTTGTTTTTACTTGCTACAAACACATCTGATATAAGGCAGCGAGTGATTACAACGATTATATCAGCTCCTCACCACCACGTGGTGGGGTAGTGGTGCTAATCGTGAACCTCTGCGATAATCGGCGAACCTGCTTTCGCTTGGGCTTCATCACCCACCAGCGTACAAAACAAACACACGTTGGCCGTGCCAAGCAATGCATGGCAGCGCAACCCGAAAACACATCAGGCAGCTATGCTGCACAACCGGCAATCACATACATCGTTGGTTATTCGCGGACTTCAAAATAGCATCGCACCCACCAATGTGGCAAATTGTTGACCAGTTTCCATAGCAGGCCTCGCTGTTGGTGAAATTTGTGGCCTCTTTCATGAGCCTGAGTAACTCCCTGAAGAATTCCATTGTTGATTGATTTCTTGCATCCATTTTTTCTGGGATCAAGTTCTGCAAATAAACAAAAACGTAACGCATGTTCAAACATCGGAGGCGACCCCACATCTCTTTTATAGCTGGGGTCAACAGCTTTTCCCTTTTTCTTAGGTTTTTTCGGTAAAGTCACGTAGGTAAAAAATTTAAATTAATAAAAGTAAAATAAAAATCACGACGTTTCGGCTATCGTGCTGTGACGGTTCCACCTGAAGACGGAAGCTTGTGTTGCCTCCGAAACGTCGTGATTTTTATTTTATTTTTATTTTACTTTTATTAATTTTTATTTTTTACCTACGTGACTTTACCGAAAAAACCCTAAGAATATGAATCCTTGCAGTCACGAAAGCTTCAAATCTAGCTTTTCCCTTACTCCTCGACAATAAAAATAAATATTTTACACATTCCATCAGCCACACCGCCCTCTGGGAGTGCATCGTTTCATCAGTATTGGATCAACACGAGCAAACTCGGGACCGGGTTTTAACACTGAACGTCAAAACGTAGCACACCGATTTTGCCAGGGTTGAAAATATGCACCCTCTCGTAGCTGGTCGGTGTGGCCAAGATGCTTTTGGTGACGGATAAAGATCGTTCGGAGGGCGGTTTGAAGCAATAGGCATCGAATGGTCACTCACGGTGGCAGATTCAATTATGTCACAGGCCCTATCCAGCCCATGGGCCGTATGTTGTCGACAATTGTTTAGCGAGCACATATGAACTTTTGCATGATATGCCATGGGGATCGTGACGCTGGCGTGCGACCACGACTGATTACGATCAGCGATCGGGTTCTGCAGACAAATGCTTCTTACGAGTTAAAGCAATCGGGAGGTGACCCGAAGTTTTATTTACCATAGGAGTGGGAAACTTTTTCTTTACTTCGGGTAAAAATGTGGCTTTTAGATACCTTTTGTGGGCAACCACACACCAAAACGTGCACACACACACACACCCTTATCACTTTTGTCACGGCAAGCGATAGACATGTGCCTTTCAGGAATTGTAGTGACTGGGCGCGTCGTTAAAATTATAACCACAGTGGTATGAACAATAAAAATAAATGTTACCCTTTCTAGAAATAAAACAGGTGTTATGATGTTTGAACGCCACCTTTTACAAGGCATCAAGTTTGCAATAACCACACTAACTACTTCTGGCAAAACATGTAAACAAACATGCTCTGATAATGATGATATAGGCATTGTCTTTGAAACCGATTGGCCTATACCAGATACAGCCTTCTTTATGACCTTGTCCCACCAGTGTTAGACAAGAGAATGCCAAACGGTGAACAGTACAAAGACAATGTAAGCACTGGAAGTATTGGATCACTTATACGAGCTATATCTATTTTTGATACTGGCAAAAAGGTCCCATAGATATAACTGCTCGGCCCGAGCTATAAGTGTTTCCGATACTTGCATTATATTAGAATAGGGTAAAGCCTATTCTTATTTTTCATACGGTTCATTTTGTGGTTGCCCGGTCGAAAACATTTTACCCCGCAGCACTCGATTAGTGCGGCCAAGGAGTATGGTTGCAGGGACGGATAACGTGTCAATGCTGACACAGCACGAGATTAAAAAGTGGCCTTGTCACCACGGATACCAACTGTTACGGGGGGCGGTGGGGTCAATCCGATGCTGGATGATGGCCTGTACAGATCATGGTGGGGAGGGGTTATGTGACCATACTTCATTATGCTAGTCAGAAGCTGATCTATAAACTTCTGAAAGGAGGGGTTTGGGGCGATCCTGTGTTTTAAGTTTTTAGTAAGGTTTGTCACGTAAACAAAACGTGTCAATTCGTTACTAGTACAGCACACCGGTGTGTTGGAGAGTAAACCCATAAAATGTACAATTCGAGTACGACGTTTCGCCGGTAATTACAACCAGCATCATCAGGCGACCTTCCTAATTGGCTGCGTCAGGTGGTGGCGGGTTTAACGACACATGTATATTCACACCATCTAACCCAAAAACCTCTATTATGGATGTTGGTCGCGAAAGCCTATGTATTAAATAGGGCCCTCGACTAATAATAATATTACTATAACAAATACAATCTATGCCATGAGTTTCCTGGCTGGCTTCTGGCTGGGCTCCTGTCCACCCCCCACCAGTAACTCTGTTGCTTGTGGCTGTGGGCCGTCGCCAACCGAAACGGTGGAGGAAGTTCGGAAGACACAAACATTTGGAAGTGACACCAACGAAGTGGCAGTAACAATGTGCAGATGACCGACACGGTTCATTTTGAAATCGCTCTCGCATCTGCATTTGTACTGATATTCACGTAATTAATTCTTTTCTCCAGAATGTTCTTTTAAAACCTAGAAAATATGAATTTTAAAAAAATCTCAATTTTTATTATCTTGGAATTTTATCGCGTAAAAAAGGCGATTACTTTTAGTGCTCCGAGGGATCGTGAGAATAGTAAGAACCATTCATAATAAAGCCTACGTATTAAACTCAGTAAGAACCATGGCAACAGCTGTTTCTTATTTTCTATTGCTGAGGAACAACGGGTTCTCTTCTGGTTATAGCAATAATAATAATGATACAATTCTTCCAAATTTATTTGGCAAATATCAATGAATGCTGTTCCGCTTGATGTGCTGCTCAAGATCTGCTAGCGACGCCGTGGAACAGATGCAAGCGCGTACAGTGTTAGCACAGTACAGTCCGACTACATCCGGAAATTTTCCTACGATGTGGCAATCATTTAACCGGGTAAATACTTTTAATAATCATGAACATTTTAATTAAACAATAACTTAACTGGGTAAATAAATAACAATTTAACTGGGTAAAGCATTTGTCGGCGTCCATTACCTCGGTTAATCCGTGTAGCGATGTGAAGTTCTCTATGTAGTGTTCGAATTTGAAATCCTTGAAATCCATGAGGTGGCTCATGTGGTCATGAGACTTATTCAGTGAGAAGATCATGAGATGAAGGTCGGCGAACCTTTTGCACTCGTTCACCTAAAAAAAAAACAAAGAGATTTGTCCACAAAAAGCACAATTCAGTTTCTATCCCCGGCGCCGCAACTCCACACGAATCATTCCAGATAACGGTCACTATATTCTATTATTAGTTGTAGTATTATAACCTTTGTTTAACCCAGGAAACCCTCAGTCAAGAGACAACTTTTTTCACGAGGATCCTGCCTACATTTCTATAGTCGGATGTGGATTGTCGTGCTCCGGCGGTGTTGCTTTGTGTAATCTCAAGGAGTAATTTGCAGGTTCATTTTTCAGCATTGCGATCTATGGGGGGTTTTGTTTTAGCTATGGGAGGAAAACGGCGAACCTGGAAGAAACCCATGCCAAACAGGACGAGAGAGAGAGAGACAACACACAGACTCCACTCAGCAAGGCACCCGAGTCAGGAATCGAACCCAGACCCCTCCTTGCTGTGGAGGACACAAGTGTTGCCACTTCTTTGATTGTTTTCCCTTTGGCATATGTGGGCGTTTAATTTCTTCCCCAGCGACCAGAGGTCGCAAACGGGTTTTGATTCCTTACCCGTACCCGGCCGCACCAGGGTCGCAAACGGGTACCCGTACCCGGCCGTACCCGTACCCTACCTGTACCCGGCCGGGTACGGTTAGGGTAGGGGTATCGGGTACCTGATTGCGACCTCTGGGATGAAGCCATGTTGCAGGCACGGGTGGGTTGATTCTAGGAACTTGAATTGTGAGAAGAGACAAGACGTTGGGAAATGAGTGACAAACGGTTACTCACCAGTGACTCACGGCCTACCCGTACCCGTACCCGGCCGCACCAGGGTCGCAAACGGGTACCCGTACCTGGCCGGGTACGGGTAGCCGGGTATCGGGTAGGGTACGGGTATCGGGTACCTGGTTGCGACATCTGCCAGCGACTCTGGGCTCCCTTTGACATTGTTGTCAACGGAACAAACTTCCCATTTTAAGGACTGCCCTACCTCCCCAGACAAAATGAAAGTTCTGAGTGTTAGATTCGAAGCTTTTGTGACTGCAGGAATTACTGTTTGGTTCTTTCGGTAAAGTCACGTAGAAATAAATTAAATTAAATAATAATAGAATACCACGTTTCGATTGCAACACAAGCAACCATCATCAGGTACAAATGCATGAGAAAACAAACATAGTAAACAGAGAGAGACACACACATAGGGCAGGAATTCCACACAACTCCCCCTCTGCCCCCCCCTCTCTCTCTATATTTAAGGCCTCGACACAGAGACGTTGTCTTTCTGTGTGCCTATGTGTGTGTTTCTCTCTGTGTGTCTCTGTGTGAGTCTCTCTCTGCTTGTGTGTCTGTCTGTGTGTCTCCGTGTCTATGTTTTGTCTCTCTCTCAAATTTAGCAATCTTTGGAGGAACGTAATCAACCAGGTGGGGTGTTGACTGTTGTGTTTGCTGACTCTCTGTGTTGTATTGCATTATATTTCCAAGTTTACAATGTTTGTTTTCTCATTCATTTGTACCTGATGATGGTTGCTTGTGTTGAAATCGAAACGTCGTATTCTTTTATTATTTTATTTCATTTCTTTCTACGTGACTTTACCGAAAAAACCTAATAGTACCGAAAAAACCTAAGAGTATAGTTCCGAGTGTTGTTTTTTTCTCTCATTGTTTAAAAATGTTGGACGATCTCGAAATTTGGCGGTGATATTGCTGGGCGGCGCCTCGTTTGGTTTAAGGTCACCAGCTGCCCTGGTTTAGACAATATTGCTGCTGTACATTTCCACGTGATAAGCCACTTTGTTGAGCTATCATTTGTGGGCCAGGTCGATGTTGAAAAAAAAGTTCATAGCTCAGTGGGCTTTACCAGGTAATTATTTTTTTATAGTTTGGTTTTTTTTTTTTGGGTGATTTGTTTACCTATCCTAAACCTTGCACTCCTATCGAATGTTTGTATTTACTTGTTGCTGTGACGTTCTAATGCCGTGCCCCTACTGGACATCTGTGCTAAAGAGTTTCATGGCTCATCGGATTACTCATCCATATATTAAAATAATCTGATTCTGATAGTAAAGGGGGGGGAGGGAGGGGATGAGGAGGAGGTGTTCATACCAATTTGCTGTGCCATTGGATCAACGCGTCGATGGGCACTGACGCGTAGTTCTCCTTCAGGTAATAGCGGGGGATGTCGCTGACCTGCAAACACACACGCGAGCGAGAGCGACGTTCAATGAGAAGCAGCCGCGATCCTTCCACGCAAAGCAATCAAAACGACTTTACGCTATGAAACCTCCTTAACCAGTGGCAAAATATAGTAGTAGGTTTTTACCCTTTAAACTGGTACAAAACTGACACCTTTATACAAAGCATCATGTTTGCAATAACCGCAACACAAGCAGTCAAAATGCAAACAAAAAGAAAAAAGAAACAACTCTGATAATGGTAATGATGTGATTATCATTACCATTATCAGAGTTGTTTCTTTTTGTTTGCATTTTGACTGCTTGTGTTGCGGTTATTGCAAACATGATGCCTCGTATAAAGGTGTCAGTTTTGTACCAGTTGAAAGGGTAAAAACCTACTACTGAGTCAACACGACCGTTGCGTTGGGCACGTTGCACAAGAAGGGGGTCAAACTGCTGGAGGGTCAAGATGACAAAGGCAAAGCCACAGCCCCTGCAACTGCTCGCCGCCGCCACTTGCTGGTGGAAGGTCCTCTACTTGAGGGAGATCAAGAGAGGCCCCCCCTCCCCTCCCCTCCACGGAGGGTTTTTTGGCCTATCTTCTCTCCAGCTGGCTAAACGTCTTGCAAGACGTGGGAGTATACCCACGCTTTGCTGATACCCACGGCGCTTAGCAAAGCGGATGAAACGAATGTCGTGGATAATAAACCACGCCATACTCGTCGTAGTATCGCAGCGAGCCCCATAAAGATGAGTCAAGGTAAAAGTTATAAATCTGAGACGGTACTAATCTGCTGTTTGCACTCCTATGACAGGGGCGACGTTATCTATAGGACAGCCAATCGTTGAGCTCCTCACAAAGTAGTTACTCATTTTAGTGACCCCCCCAGATGGATGATGAGCCAAGTCAAACTGAAACCGCTGAGCCAACCGGCCACTCGAATCCTATCTTCAAACCGCAGACACTCGGCGGTTCTGGGCACAGCGTTGCCATTTTGGCAATGATCACACTGGTCAACACACTTTTTCTGGCATACGGTATTCCAACGGTTATAAGGTAATTTTGGGGTGCTGATTCCAAATCTAGCATCAGTTTTTGTCTATCACATCAGGTTTTTGAGATATCAAATATTGTATTTTCAATAAAAACTGCAGAAGAAAAATATTAAATAAATGTGGATATCTACATAAAATGATATTATAAAAACACCATCCTAAAATACAGCACCATATTTAACACTAAAGCAGTCACTGACTCGCAACAACTTGCAATCATAAGTGACATAGAGTTAATTTTGGGTAAAATCAATGAAAATGGGGTATGCCGATAGCATAAAAATGAGATGTGATAGAGCAAATCTGAGATCAGATTTGGAATCAGCACCCTGAAATTGGTCTGAAATAGCTGCAAAAGTCCAGGCCAGAAAAAAAAAATTTTTTGTTGTTGACCAGTGTCATCTTGACCAATGCCAACAGCCAATCACCTGTGAGAAGCACCCACTGTGGTGTTGTTACCTGGTCATGGGCACTGCAGGGGTTGAGTTTCCGCTCAACGTTGTGCATCTGTGAGCAGAAGAGACGGACGGGCAAGGAGATGTCACTCCGACAGCAAAGGGTGCCCTAGTGTGCATGTCCCGATGTGTGATAATCGCGTGTCAACATTCTTGCTGACGCAATACAAATAATCTCGGCGCCAGCTATAGTAGAGTTTACAGTGCAATTATCTCGGTGTCAGTTTTCCCGCTGACTTTGCAATTGATTGTCGCACTGTTATTGTCATGCTGTCTTTCATCCTCAGATTAAAAAAAATCTGGAACAACCATCCTGCCACCGGGCATCCGAAATGCGCCAAGTGCCTTTTAACCCGCTTTTATTAATATATATATTTATAACTCACTCCGTCTGTTCTATTTAAAAAAAAAATCTTGTAACTCAATTTTTACCCACTTCCCAATGTCGTATCCACTGCAAACTTGGTATAGGTATGTTATACTAATGACAATACTATATTCTATCATAGAAAATTATAGATATATTTTAAAACATTCTTTTCTACGGCTCTCATTCTCCACGCTCAACTCACGTTGGCTGTAAATCACCACGTGGTCCCTTACGTCACGGCAAGCCTCGGGGAGCCACGCCCAGGGGCGGGGGATGTGGGAGGAGGGGAGGGGCGATGGGGGAAGGGGGCAGGGGGAGGGGCAGCTCGGATAGTACATTTCATTAAAGTGTGTTTTTTTTATTGCAGGTGCACAGTTAATCCGCAAATCGAATAAACCACACACGGATAATCGATAGTCTGCTGTATATAAATGTAGGTGGTCTGCGTCAGGAAACAACCCTTATTTAGCTCTGTGCTTCATCTTCTTGGTTCTTTCGGTAAAGTCACGTAGAAGGGAAGTAATAAAATAATAAAAATGAAACATAATAAAATAATTCTCACGACGTTTCGGCCACAACGCAAGCAGCCGTCCTCAGGTGAAGAAACGTCGTGAGAATTTTATTATGTTTTATTTTCATTATTTTATTACTTCCCTTCTACGTGACTTTACCGAAAGAACCAAGAAGATGAATCCCTGCAGTCACGAAAGCTTTAAATCGAAATTTAGCTCTGTGCTGTAAAGAGAAGCCCTTTGTCTATAATATTGCCTGTTGTTTATTCTGGGTTCTCTCTTCGGGGAAGCGTTAGTGTTACAGGTTTGGTGTTCGTCGTTTACCGCAGAGGTCCATCGACTTACCAGTGACCACGTATCATTGCACGAGTAATGTCCGAACACGTAGCATGTGCTTTCCGTCAGCGTGATGGAAATGAGGAAAACGACCTGTGGATGAGAGAAACGGAAGATGCAGTTGTGACTGAGAAAACAACAAAATAAAGATTTGTTTGTGTTGCATTGCATTACATTTCCAAAAATTTGCTAAGTTTGTTTTCTCAAACTGCCTATTTCTCTTTCATCATTAGACCTCCTTTGCCAGTACCAGAAAATAATAATAGGGGTTTTCCCCTTTTTTCTGGCAACAAAACTGAAACCTTTTTACAATGAATCATGTGTGCATTAACCACCATATTTTCAGTCAAAATGCAAACAAAAAACACACTCTGATAATATATGCATTGTCCTTGAAACTGATTGGTCCACACCAGAGACAGCTTTATTTTGAGCCTCGTCTCAATTGGTGCTAGACCAGAGGACGCCAAAAGGCGTACAGCTCAAAGAAAATGCACTATCAAAGTAATGTCTATGTTGTGTGTCTCTGTGTTGTCTCTCTCTGCTTGTGTGTCTGTCTGTGTGTCCCCGTGTCTGTGTTTTGTCTCTCTCTCAAATTTAGCAATCTTTGGAAGACCGCAATCAACCAGGTAAGGTGCTGACTGTTGTGTTAGCCGACTCTCAGTGTTGCATTGCATTGTATTTCTAAATTCACTAGGTTCGTTTTCTACCTGATGACGATTGATTGTGTTGCAATCGAAACGTTTTATTCTATTATTTAATTTATTTTATTTCTACGTGACTTTACCGAAAGAACCAAAGAGTAGTTCCTGCAATCACGAGAGCTTCAAATCAAATATGTTTGTACAGTCGTGTATAATTTGCTGCTAGGATGCTGTACGCGAACATCATTTCGTGAGCACATCACTCCTGTTCTCATGTCCTTGCATTGGCTACCAATCAAATATCGAATTGATTATAAGGTCCTGCTATGGACCTACAAGGCTGTCAATGGGCTAGCCCCCACATTACTTACAAGAACTTATCCATTTATATACACCACCAATGAGGTCCTCGAAATCTTCAGAGCTCCTCCTTTATAGTTTTCTGAGGTCAAGGCTCCATTCCGGGGGGGGGGGGGTGATCGGGATTTTGCCAGTACAGCTCCAAGACTATGGGACGCGTTGGCCTCTGACAATAAAACAATCAGAATATTTAGAACTATTTAAATCTCGCAATGAAAACTCACCTCTCTAGAAATGGCATTTTCCCCATCGTTTTGGTCACTTATGCCGCTGGCTCTGTCTTATTTCCCTGATTTCCATACACCGGCACATTGGGATCCTTGGATCAAATGCACCATAAGAAATGTAAATTATTATCTATTTGAAAAATTAACACGATTGGCAAAGTCTCTTGCACTAGAGAACGTCTCACTTTTTCAAGGAAGTCCACTGAGGCAATCGTCTCTGTGCGTAACCAAAGACGTAACGACTGCATCATTCAGTGAAACATTTTACATCTGCAACGATGCATTTCATATTTTGTTAATCGTCTTCATCCCATACGTGACATAAGGCCGCAGTGAGTTCCCTCCACTTCTTCCTGTGCTTGCCAACATGTTGAAACCTCGCCCCAAGAGGTCGATCGCTGCTGCCAGCTCATCCTTCACGGTCTTGCGCCAGGTGGTCTTGGCTCTCCCAGGTTTCCTTTTGCCAGGTGGTGTCCATCTGGTCCATTCTGAGTACATGTCCAGGCCATCCGAGTCGTCGTCTCTCGATGTCTCGTGTGTGATATTAGGACAACCGGTCTTCATGTACAGTTCAGTGTTGTGGATTTTGTTCGGCCAGAAGATGCAGCAGATTCTCCTGAGGAATCTGTTATGGATGGACTTCCATTCTCTTCATGTCGGTCTTGACAACACGCCAACTCTCAGAGCCATACAACAGCGCCGATTTAACATAGCTGTAATACAGCTGGATCTCGAGATGCATTGTGCCGTGCACAATTAATCGCCCATCCAGTTGAACATTTCCATAAAGAAATTGTATGACGGTGCTCGCCGCTAGTTTTTGTAGAATAGATCTCCAGCTGTAGCAGTTGCAGAGGGTGTATTTGTTATTTATATACGCTGAGACCGGTAGCCCGTTTACATCTGGAAATCCTGTTGAAGCAGCGCTGTATCTAGTGTGCCTGTTTGGGGTTTTTACCCCTTTACTCTGTGCAAGCAGTCACCAAGATACGAACATCCGCACTTACGAACGAACCGCCATGAGATGTTCTTACTTTTCACCGTCCGACTTTGCGAACATTCTGCCGTGCTTACGAGCCGAACGGCGGAACAATTTTGTTCGGCTGAACGATCCTGCACGATATGTAATGAGTCCCAGCGTTTCTCTGAAGACGGAAGCTTGTGTTGCCTCCGAAACGTCGTGATTAAAATTTTATTTTTATTTTACTTTTATTAATTTTAATTTTTTACCTATGTGACTTTACCGAAAAAACCTAATAATATGAATCCTAGCAGTCACAAAAGCTTCAAATCTAGAATTATTAAAGCCCCTTCCGGCAGTATCGGGACTCAAGATAGGTGAATATAAAACAAATGTTTTTTCATGTTACTTTAGTTTAGGTTTTACTTACTATACAGTACTTAATACATGCAAATGTACAATATTTCTGACTTATGAGTTGAACAATGCTTCCTTTTTTGTTGAACCGTAACACATTTAATAATGCTGACCATATGCGCGATTAACTATTGAGTTCCGGGGATACGAACAAATCGACTTACGAACGAGTCTCGGGAACTTATCGAATTGTTCGTAAGCCGGGGACTATCATACATATACCTATACTAGGGGGCGGCCTGCCATATGCATGGGGTCATGACCTGCCACACACCACTCACCACTCATCAACTCACCTCACACACCACTCATCGACTCACCTCACACACCACTCACCAGAGTACAGTATCCTAGAGTGAGAATCCCCTTGAGATTGAACGCCCCCCCCCCCACAACCCCCCCCCCCCCGCAAAAGATAAAGGTGCAGCCCTGCAAGGTCTCGAATAAAGGGTGCTCTTAAGAGGGCACCGTTAAAAGGGTACTTGGCCTCCTCTTTCACGCAGGCCAGACATCCGATTAGCAACGGTTGCCGACGTACTGTGCAAAAGAAGTTCAGCACACACACATGTACACCCTCGCAAGAGTCGGGGGCAGCCTCACTTTGAATGTGCACATGTTGAATTTCTTTCCTACCGTACGTAGCCAATCCGTGCTAATCTTGCCGATCGACCCAAACCCGTGGTGAACTTATGTTTACACCGCTGGGCTTGTCGAGAGGCAGACGGTGTTGTAATTTAATCAACATTGCCTCTTCTTGGTTCTTTCGGTAAAGTCACGTAGAAGGGAAATAATCAAATAATAAAAATAAAACATAATAAAATAAAAATTCTCACGACGTTTCGGCCACAACACAAGCAGCCTTCTACGTGACTTTACCGAAATAACCAAGAAGATGAATCCCTGCAGTCACGAAAGCTTTAAATCTAAATTCAACATTGTCTCGTTGTTTTAACCGCTGCAAACCAAGGCCAGTGGTCAGTGTGTGCGAACCATCATCTGCACAGGCCTCTGGCCACTCGCAGTAGAGGTGACGAGGCCCAAGAAAGCCACGTGAGATGTCCCCCGTTATGACCAAAAGGTGGGGTAGAGAGGACATTAAACTAAAATCAGCTGAACATAAACTAAACGGAGTAGAAATAACAACTGAAATAAGCGGACGGCAATTCCTGTCACAGCTTTCCGTCCCCATATATTGAGTAAAAACAATTTTTTTTGTTAAACATCCCGTCACCAACACGGCAGTGCAAAGTGTCACCTGGATTGGTTCAATAAGACAAAGTAATATTTTAATATTCTTTGGGTCTTTCGCTAAAAGTCACGAAGATAGGTTCAAAGAAAATAACACAAAAAGAATATGAATTCTTGCAGTCACGAAAGCTTTAAGTCAAGATTTTAATATTTGAATGTTGCGTCACTGCAGTTTGGCGTCTGTTACAAACATCACGTGGTTAATGCGTTCGGACATCAAGTTATATGTATGGGACCTACTGTTCGCCTTTTGCCATTCTCTGGTCTGACACGAGTGAGACTAGGCCATAAAGAAGGCTGTCGCTGGTATAGACAAATCAATTTAAAAGACAACGCCTATATAATTGTCATAGCGTCCTTGTTTACATGTTTTGCCACAAGTATGTGTTATTCTACGCAGACTTAATTCCTTGCAAAAAGGAACCTACTTGACGTTTGAACATCTCAACACCTCCAATTTAATTGCCAAAACAGGGTCAAATCTGTTCTTATTTTTAAATCCTTTATATTAAGTTCACTTGCTTGCTTGCTTGCAGCGCTTATGACCGTGCAAATCTTTCGGTCGTTTTTTAACCCACTTCCCGTGATCCAATCGAGCTGACATTTTGCACACAGACTCGTTGTGCGTGACAATTTATTTTCGCGAAATTTTTTTTCCAAAATTTTCCACTTTTTAGGAAAAAACATTTTCATATTTAATTTAAAATACCAATGTGATTAAAAATGAAACTCTTATTCAAGAAAAACAGAAATGAATAATAAAATAAAACCGATGCCACGCATATAAAGGATTTATAGTGAAAAACTTTGTTTTTACGGGTTAATTTTTTTGTGCACTGCTCTCTAACTTCCCACAATGTTTAACCACAACCTGCCGAGTGCCCATTCAGCCACTTAGCTGCCAAGGACCGATAACCCCCCCTACCCCTTCCCACACACACACGTAAAGTCATTCTGTGAGTAGCAGTGCTGTGCAGGGTTATCCATTTATAGACACGTTCAAGGGAAAGATTTACAGTGCACAATATAATAAAATGATTTACGAACACAGAAGAGCATTTAAACAACGTATCACCACCCTTTTGTCGATCCACTGCCACCAAGACCCTCCAACCACCCGGGACTGGCGACCACCACCATCACCACCACTATCCACTTTAAAAATCTGTATTCAAAACTAATTTCTTGAGAACTGCTTTTGTGTTTCGTTTGTTTTCCCTCCTCCGCACCTCAGCACGGTTGGCTATGTAATTCGCGAAAGAAGTTCAACGTACATACCACAGTCACCAGCATGACCACCACCATCATCATTGCCATTGTCACGCTGCTATTATCAGTACTCTTATCTTGATTTCAAGCTTTCGTGACTGCAGGGATTCATATTCTTGGTTCTTTCGGTAAAGTCACGTGGAAGGGAAATAATAAAATAATATTAATATAAAACATTTGACTTTACCGAAAGAACCAAAAATATAGTATTCTTATCGTCAACATCATCATCTCTCGTTTTTTTTTTACACTATTTTACAACAAATGTGAGGGGGGGGGGGGTGTTGGTGGTGGCGTATCGTGTCGGCATAACTCACCATTTTAAATGTGACGGAAGGTTGTCGGTTGAAGTCGCGCATCTTTATTCACGGCAGAGGCAGCGGCCGATTGAGCTCAACCTGCAGACGACGAGAATTTTTTTTTAAAAAGAGGAAGAATTCCATTGTTGATGAGTAATCTGACGATGGCGGCGTCGTCAATACCATGCGTGGGAGTGATGCCTTTCGAAAAATTCCGAGACATGATTCGGAGAAACACCGCGACGGTCAAATTCGCGGGGGGATAAATCTCAGAAATCCCGTCGGGCGTTCTCGGCCACGCCGCTCTTTCGAATGCACCTAGCCTGGCACGAGCGTCGTGGTCGACGTCACGGCCACTTAGTGGCGAATGCATAGCCGATGGTTGCTTGCGTTGCAATCGAAACGTCGTATTCTATTTGATTTGATTTTCTACGTGACTTTACCGAAACAACCAAAGAGTAATATCTCCTGCAGTCACGAAAGCTTCGAATCTGGTTTGAATGCATAGCAGTCAACCCACACGGTTTGCCCAGTATTCTTGTACAAGGAAATTGACCTCTCAGGTCCATACGGCATACAGCCGTTTCAATACGGTTGCATACAAATTGTCTATTTGTTTGTGTTTTTCCTGTGTGATGGGACGTTGTAGGATGAACGTTGAGATTTGGGGGGGGGGGGGGCTCGTGGGGTGACCGATAAGGTCTGAATTTGGTCTGTAATTAGGTAGGCACTGATACCAGTTGACAGGTATGCGAATGCGCAGAAAAACTTTCCATATTTTTGGAAAACTGAGCACCCATACTTAATTAACGCTGCGGTAAAACGTCGCGAAGTGTAGCGATGTTTTACTGGGGACATCACCAATTTTAAGATTACCACGTGAGATTAGCGTGGATTCCAGGAGTTTTACTGTGCCAGTATTGTTTTCTACAACTGCTAACTTCTAATTTCGTCCCTCCAGAGCCTGCTGTCATCCACCTGATTGTGTCGTCACTTTAATTCTTGTCCACCCTCAAACACATTCCTGCGGAGGGAGCTGGTAGGAACGTTGGGTTGCTCGGTCAATGGCCAGGGTCAACGGCGGCGTGGTGTATTCCGCAAATATGCCCGACTGTGAGGGCGGGCACAAGCCGGCGTGAGTAGGTTAAGCGTTGAGTTTTATAAGGGCACCACGGGGTGACCAGCCCCTCCCCACCCAGCCCCACCCCTCCCACCCCCCACCCAGCCCCACCCTCCCCACCCAGCCCCTCCCCACCCTCCCCACCCAGCCCCTCCCAACCCTCCCCACCCAGCACCTCTCTCCCCACCCAGCCCCTCCCTGCACGACGGACACAATAATCCCCTGTGGGCTGGTGTAACCAGGAGGTTACTACCAGTATAACTGTCATCGATACGCCTGCCACTGAGCCTTAAACATTGCGCGATACATGCTATGACGTGACTCGTTTGCAACAAGAAGAAACGGAACCTGGCAAGCGTGCAAAGGCGCGTGGAGGGATGCAAATATTGGAATGAAACGGAGAGGCAGAAAGAGGAACACGTGGCGGTGGATCGGGGTGGGAGGGGCTAGAAAGCACACGCGGGTTAAAGCCAAAAGTAAAAACTGTTGGGGAAAGTGACCGGGACTTGGGCAGGACATATTCTTAGGTTTTTTCGGTAAAGTCACGTAGGTAAAAACATTAAAAAGTAAAATAATATAAAAATCACGACGTTTCGGAGGCAACACAAGCTTCCGTCTTCAGGTGGAACCGTCACAGCCACGACAGCTGTATCAAGTAAATGAGAGATTGCAGAAGCTACCACTCCGTATATATAATGGTTGGAGAAGGTGGTGGGGCAAGGGCCGCATACTTATTATTAATATGGTAAGGTGAGGCTTAAGACTAATAAGTATGCGGCCCTTGTCCCACCACCTTCTCCAACCATTATATATACGGAGTGGTAGCTTCTGCAATCTCTCATTTACTTGATACAGCTGTCGTGGCTGTGACGGTACCACCTGAAGACGGAAGCTTGTGTTGCCTCCGAAACGTCGTGATTTTTTTTTATTTTACTTTTTAATGTTTTTACCTACGTGACTTTACCGAAAAAACCTAAGACTATGAATCATTGCAGTCACGAAAGCTTCAAATCTAGAATTGGGCAGGACAGTTCGCTGGAGGGGACGATGGGGCGATGGCCAACAATAGTGACGGAGCGGCGGGGCGAAGGAACGGAATCCATCTGAGAAGAATGACCGACAAGGAGATGGAGCTGTGAAATCGTAATATATAAAAAATATTTATGATACCCGCAGTAATAATAACCCTCTACTGGGCTCACCAAATCAAATGCAAACCGTTGGTACCATCCATAAAGAATCTGACACAGCTCCAAAATAATTCAATTTCAGGCCTATCAGAGGTTAATGTCCGTAAGAAGTTGACTCCTCTAAAGAAGCTGACGGCTTGCCCTGCCTTCGCTTTAATTGCAGTGGGTGACGTGATTTTCAGGCCCCCAAACCCACACATTTAATGTGTCCATTAAATAAGCCATCGTACCCGCTCAATGGAAACCCACTCATGATTATTAATGGATGGGGGGGGGGGTGCTGCATGTGGAGTGACGTCACCCACTCATGATTATTAATAGTGGGTGGGTGCATGTGGAGTGACGTCACCCGCTCATGATTATTAATGAGGGAGGATCCATGTGGAGGACATCACCTGCTCATGATTATTAATGAGGGGGGGGGGCTGGCCGACGTGGAATGACGTCACGCGCGGGACACACAGCCATTCTTGGCTCATTATAGGCGTACATTTTCAGAAGTTTAAAATTAAGATTTAAAAATAATTCATTATATACACCCGCAATTCCAAATGTGAGGGACAGAGCGAACCCCTGCCACCCACCCCCACAAATATAGAAGTCAAACTCCGCCTTTGATCGGCAGCCGTGGTCAATCCACTGCTGGCTGATTGTGTCAACATGCAAGCCGCCACCACCTCTCACGATGGCGAGATGTGGCTACTCGGCGCCTGCACCCGAGAAGATTCCGTCGCTCCGTGGACACCCTCTCTGACGCGTTCCATTACTTTGGCTGCGACTCCAGCCGCGACATGAATCTATTTAAACTATTTTTTTGTAATTTACCAGGTAAGACCCTGCCCCCGCCCACCACACACTGGACTAAGCGTCTTCTTTTTCAGAAGCGAGTTGGCCACACATTATAGCTCAACGAAGTGGCTTATCATCGCGTGGAAATTCATACAGCCAAAGGGGAAAACCGGAGGACCTGGAGAAACATCCACGAGACGGTCGCTTGTGTTGCGAACGAAACGTCGTAGTTTTTTTGTTTAGTCTTTTTTTGAACCTATCAACGTAACTTCACCGAAAGACCCAAAGAACATGAATTCCTGCAGTCACGACAGCTTCAGGTCAAGAATACCAAGTGTTATGCCAGTTGTGTTAGCAGTAAGTGTGTGGTTGTCAATACAAATAACGCGTGGGAAAATAGGAAGCTATCCGTTGCTTGTCACAGTCACAATGCCAAGGTTGGAAGTTAAAACAACCCCCATCATCACTTCGGGAAAGTGAATAAAACGCGGACCGCATGGTGGCTCACCAACAAATTACAACCACGTGGATAAACTCCCCCAACCTCCAGCCACCAACCCCCATCCATAAAGAGAGACCGTTTCTCGGACGAACTAAAACTAAAAAAACACGTTTAACTGCCTCTCTTCTCTGAGTGGAATCCACGAGGTCGCTGGGCCGTGCGTGCGCAGGGAGAGAGCGTGTGTGCGCGATAATATCAATCGCGAGCAGGCAATCGCGAATATTTTTAAAATAGCATTGGCAATCAGTACCGATGCCGCCGCGCATTTGTTCAAGAAAGCAAGGCTGAAAGTACTCACGGTTTGATCGACGCTGCGCTTGTAAGTCGACGGACACAGCATAAACAAAAAACTAAAATGAAAGTGATGAAGATGAAAAATAAGTGTTTACGTTCGTTCGACGATTTGAAACGGGACACGTGGTTTCATGCAGAGGACGGTGGCGTGTGGTGAGCGAGTGTGTGTGTGTGTGTTTGCACGAGTGTGAGTCTTATACTCAAAAATATAGAAGTGAAACTATTCTCCTTCCTTATTACTCTTTATCATGCTCCAAATAATCGCTCCTCCTTCCAGGAGAGCTGCGGCTCCCCTGCAGTGCACTTCGGCTTTATTTGCTGAAACTCACTCACTGATCGACCACGACACGTCTGAGCCCGATCTCAAAGGTCATAGGGCGCCTGTGTCTGAAGCGGTTACTTCTCCGCGTTGCTGCGACGGGCAGATTAAAACCTGTGTACCGGAAGTTTCACAGCACTGAGATGGCTTTACTGAAGATCGCTGATGTTACATTTTCGATTTAAAGCTTTCGTGACTGCAGGGATTCATCTTCTTGGTTCTTTCGGTAAAGTCACGTAGAAGGGCATGTCTCGGACCGCATCCGTGAACATAAAGCAGACCTGAAACACGGTAGGACAAACACCTCAGCCGTGGTAGATCACTGTTACAATTCAGTGGGCTCACATGAAATTGACTTCTCCAAGACAGAGGTTCTCTGCAAGCCATCTGGCTACCATGAGAGATTCGTTCATGAGGCGATCCACATATACAAACACAGAGACAATTTCAACCGAGAAGATGGATTCTGGCTCAGCAATCATTGGAAGGACGTAATAAACCATTTCGGATCTTAACTGATTGTGTTCACGTTTACCGTGACTTTCAGACCGCAGTCCACTCACTGGCATGACTATATATCTTTTATTCTCTGCAGTGAATGGATTCTTTGCTCCGCTGCAAGTCTCCTACTACCACTCTCCCATTGACATATTTCGTTGCTTCCTCTTAGTATTTTTCACTCGACGGTCAATGGTATAGTGTATAGCAGATTGTATAATAATAAATAGTATAAAATTGTAATGTTTAATACAATGTATAAGGCAATATATAGTATCGTAATCGTATAGTGAATATACAGCAGTGTGATATACAATAGGGTGGATAGAATAATACATAGTGTAATATTACACTATGTATTATTCTAAGGTATAGTAATACAGTATATAATTTAATGTGGGTTTATCTATGGCAGCATATAGTACGGGGTCAGACCTGTGTGATGTAAGAAACAAGTTTAGCTGAAAGCATATTATATTTTTTGCGACATAGAATTGTAATGTATTACTTACTGTTAGTAGCTCAGCTTATTGGAGAGTATATTTAGTATACTGATGATACTATGTAGTTTATACTTTAGTTTTTTTACGTGGTTGTTTAGTTACTGCAGCTACATACTATTAACATTCCTTCCCTTTATTAATACTACCCCTATCCCCTCCCTTTGATGCTGCTAATCCTGCATAATGCACGGGCATAATATGACTTTGAAACCCCCCGCCCACCTCCTACGCATTTCACAAGTAGTACTAATCACATACCTGCATTTCCAATAAATATGCTAAATTCCTCTTGATATGCAAATTATTTTGTCAAGACGCCCTTCCCCCCTTCCAACCCAGCTTAAATAAACGCTCCAAGCATGGTGGTGTTTCATTCAGACGCTGTCTCCCCGACAGACCTGGTCTTCACCTGAGGATGGCTGCTTGCGTTGTGGCCGAAACATCGTGATAATTATTTTATTATGTTTAATTTTTATTATTTTATTATTTCCCTTCTACGTGACTTTACCGAAAGAACCAAGAAGATGACCTCTACATGATGACAGATGAACAGTGCGCTGCAGCATTGCTTGAACTCGGTATCTCAGCCGCCTTTGCCACCATCGTCCATGAGATACTCATCAGGCGGCTAAGGTCAAGGTTCACTGGGGTGGATTGAGTCTGACCTCCATGGTCGATCACAGTTCGTCAAGCTGGGTGACGCACAGTCATCGCCTATGCCATGCTTAGTCGGCGTACCACAGGGGGTCCGTCCACAGGCCTTTCCTATTTTCAACAAACGTTTCTCTGACCAACTCATTGATGCGTGAAACCGAGATAGACTGCAATGGAGACTGTGACTTTCTCAATGGCGGTCTCCTACGCGTGCATTCCGTGCAACCCTGAATGAAGTGGTGCATGTCGCTCGACATCCCCGGCCAATAATAATTGTGTTGCAACGTTAGCAACGTTTTCCACACCCCAAGGCATAACAACTTGTCCTCCTGCACCCCCGAGTCAGCTTGCCTCGGAGGGCAGTGGGAACTACGACACGGTGACAGCGTGAACCATCCTCGTCCATCATCAAAAGACCGTCCCTTAGGACCGGTCACAGGCCTTTAGAGGGAGCGGACCCCTTTCGTCCAACTTCCGCTTGACACCGCAAGGACAATATCCCCCAGCGCGACCTCCTAGGCGGGCTCCACTCCTTCAAGCGCTGCCATGAGAGCCAAGGGCCTCGCTGCCGAAGATCCATAACGACCCGCGCCCGATGCGCACGCACAACTATTGCCTAGAGGCAAATGGGACAACGCATCAGCGTTCGAATGCCGCATTCCTATACGGTACATCACTCGGAACGAGTACTCCTGGAGAATCTCCAGCCATGGCGAGAGCTGCCCAGAGGACTAGTCTACTCTGTGGGAGTACTGAAGGGCCGCATGATCTGAGAGAACCACCTTATCGACCGGTAAGCCGCCTTGAAGCGCTAGGTGAAGGCGCTCCAGTCGCCCCCTGCCATGATGAATTTCCTGACGGGAGGCAGTCGGCGGGTTCGTTCAGTCCCTCTTCCAGCATCGACAGCAACAGGTGTCGCATCCGGCGAATCACACCCGTGTCCGAAAAAGGCGGGCCGCGACTGCGCTTCTCCCGTGCTACACGTAATGGCGGCCTCCGGCCGGGTGGTCTCTGTGGCCCGCGTAATGGTGGCCGCTCCACTCGCAGACGTTCCCGCCCGTGCTTCGCTCTCCGGCAGCCGGTCTTCTCTCCCAGGCAAGGTGCGTGCAGTCAGCCCCGCCATCGTGGTCGCCGCCAGGAGCTCCACCATTTGCGAGACAATCGCCCTCAGGAGCTCCAGCTGATCCGACACCACGCGCCATCTAATTTCGGGCTGCTGCCGCAGAGCAGCTGTCGCCGGTCCCGCCGTTTCTAGTGCCGGGACCACGGTTCCTGGGGCTGTTAGGAGGTCCAGTGTCTCATCCTCGTCATCGTTGGAAGACGCCACAGGTGGGATCCGCTTCTTTTCATACTTTGACATATTTAGATTTTCTCTTTATTCTTTCTTCTATCCTCCGATGAGAAAATAAAAAAAATTAAACCACTTCTGACTCCAAATGTAGTGAGCGACTTCCGTGACACGTCGAGCAGAAGGCTTTATATTTGTTAAGAGCACACGGGGCGATACACTTCGTAACGCAGCTACACATAGGCGATCCTAACACATAGCCCATCTCTGGCATACGCTATGCTAGCTGTCCGGCTAGCATAGCGGCAGCGACGGAGAGGGTCTTGCAGAAGAACAGTCACGTGGTCGGAGACGAATAGATGACGATGAGCAGCGACGCAGCCAGGACCCAGGACCCGCAACAGCCCCGAACCTCTGGTTCGGTCCCCCTTATATCTGCCCCGGCGCGGCCAAGCCCCTCCTCTGGCCACGCCCCCTTTCCAGAACCTTCGAGCCGGTTCCCGGAGCTTCTTGACTGACTGCCTTTCACCTTTACCCCAGATATGCCCCCCTTGTAATAAGACATTATGTAATGCACCCATAACCGTAATTACCACTCCAGGCAGACAGGTGTCACCCTGTCATTACACATGTGTCATCAATTCCAGTTGGTCATGCAGTCCATATGAAGGAAACCTATGACAACATGAAACAATTTTTGAGGTGCATAAACTGCCCAACATCAGTGGCAGCTTTGGCGATTTGAAGGTTGTTGCTTTCTTGCTTGGTCTGCAGACTGGATACACAAATTACTGCTGTTTTCTCTGCGAATGGGATAGTCGTGCGAGAGATTCCCACTACATCAAGATAGATTGGCCACTCCGACAGTCAATTGGAGCCTGAGAGGAAAAGTGTTCAGCATCCACCACTTGTTGAATCAAAGAAGATTTTGTTACCACCCTTACACATAAAGCTGGGTCTGATGAAGAACTTTGTCAAAGCCATGGACAAAACATAAGCAGCTGAATAAGGACTAATCTACGTACTTTTTTAACATAATAATATTTTGCCTTTTGTTTCATAATACATTTGATTTATATAACCCTTTTGCTGATTTTTTAAGTGTTACATGAACAGGACAGGTTGCATGTTATCATGTAAAGCAGCCAAAAACACATGAAGAGACCGAGGTTTACAATTTATCAGTAAACCCCTACTATCCACACAATATACAGTACACGTAAAATGTAAACACTTTAATATCTTGGGAACAGTAGCCAATCAGTTGTTTAAATTGTCATATTTTAATTCAGCACATCAAAATCCATAATAAACAGCACATTTCATCTCTGAAGCAGACGACGTCTAAAGAATTGTAGATAAGTGTTATTTAGCGCTAGAAAAAAAAGTGCCATTGCCTGAAGCGTTACCGAGACATATTTTTCAGGTCACGGTGTTTTTGACGAACATGTAGAGTTTAGCGTGTACAGTCGTTCATGTCCACACATGCTACCCACAACTTACATGTAGAGTCAACGTGCGTTTGGATTACGTTGCTGCTATAAATTGTCACGCGATAAGCCACTTGTTTGAGCTATAATTTGTGGCCGGGTCGATTCTGACAAAATAAGCTATATAGCTCGGTGGGCTTTACCCGGTAAGTAAAAAAAATAGTTCAGTTTTGTTTGTCTATATTTTTTTTTAAGTGATTTGTTCACCTTTACTATACTTTGCACTCTGATCGCCTTTTTGTATTGTTTGTTGTTGAAACGTTCTGATCCGCCCCACTTACTGGACATCTGTGAGACAAAGATTTATAGCCCCCCTGCACTCTAAATAAAGGTTCTGATTTGCGTGTGCAGAGGAAATACTGGCGATGATCGGATGAAGCTTTTCACGTCTCCGCGTTGCCTCAACAAAGTCGACAGTTAACAATGTGTAGA